TCGTTCAAGTTTCGAGCTTTTGACTCCGTTTTTCATCGTCTACGCAATGGAAGATTTAGTATTTAGTTATAAAGCTCTTTACTTCATTTTTGCTCCGGTTTTACTTATAATTTTTATTAGAGTAAATTGGATTTGATTGATGATGGTGGAAATGCTTGAACTTGATTGCTTGCTTGAGTAGATAGAGTCGTTAATTACTTGTTAATCTTGGTTAGACGACTAGGTTTAGCATTCTAATGCTCGTAGCTCGTTTATTCCGTATGTTGATTGATTATCATCCCGTATTGGTTATGGCATGAGACTCCAGTGATCTAGTTTGCGAATTGCTCGTCTTTTGATCTTGCTTTCAATTAATTGCTCGTTTTTAAGTGCTCAAGTAGTGTTAATCAACCATCCAATCAATTGTTTAGAATGTTTAGGATTTTATTTTCGATTATTGTGATTTGGACGATCATTTAGTAGACGAAGCTCCGAATAGCCTTCCTTTGAAATCGACCCGAGCCGGGTAACTCGATTATCCTTTGCCTATCATATCTATACTAAACAAATGGTGTCGTTGCCGGGGAAGGCAAGTAGAAAGCCTAGTTTGCATTTGATTGTCTCTTTTTCTTGTGTTTCTCTTGATTTTTGTGAACCTTGGTTAATTTTCGTGTTTCTCTCGATTTCTCTTGCTTTTTGTCGTTTATTTGTTTGTGTTACTTATGTTTGACCTTGTTTCACATTGGTGCGTTCACGGGTATAGTTGTTGTTGGTGTTTATGTGAGGTAGACGAAGGCGTGCACCCGTAGAGGAGACACCATCGGTCGACCTTTTCGTTGAGCTTAATATTGAGGAACCACAACCGGAACCCGAAACCGAATCAATGGCGGGACAAGAAGACCAATTGCCACCACCACCTCCCCCGAACATGAGATATTTTGCACGGCCTATCATTGGAGACAACACTTCATGTCTTGTGCTCGGGGAGGCGGCCCGAAATTATGATCTCAAGACCATCCACCTAACCCAACTTCCATCATTCTACGGCTTAGCACAAGAAGATGCCCTCAACTTCATTCGAGACTTCTATGCAACCGTCAACACATTCCCACTCCAAGGCCTAGCCGAAAACCAACTCCGGATGAGATGCTTTCCCTACACGTTAAAGGATCGAGCCAAG